CAAAAACACTTGTGAAAATTGCCGGAAACTGTCCTTTCCTCTTCTGATAGTCAGTAAATGGTCGTAAAAGACACGTAAAGTGAGCCTATTCTCGGGCAGAATCACACAGTTTAACAGCTGATAAAACGAGTGAAATATACGCTTTTACGTATAAAATTTCACGATAACTGCAGTTTCCGGCAATTTTTAGGACTTTCACGAGTACGAGGGAAGTCACATTTTCATAAATAAGCAAATATTGACGAAATGGCACGCAAGAAAAATTTTGTCGTCAAAACATCACTTTTTCACGCCTATTAGTTCAGACTTTTACCATGGCGAGGCGCTATACACACACACAAGCATGAACCCATGTCTGTGCGCTCCCCTTCTACCCGAAAATGAGCACACGGACATGAGCTTGCAATTGTGTGTATAACCAGTAACGTACTACCAGTTTTGCTAGCCACCGTCTAATTCGGTGTCGCTACCCATCAACACGGAGTTCTTGGCTGAGTATTCAGGAGCCTTAATAACTCGGTTTACAAGGCCGATCCCCGCATTTTTCTTATAGATTCTTTCGTTCTGAGTGAAAACGCGACGAATGAGTATAATTTTATATGTTTAAGACACGTATTTGTCTTCTAAAAGGTAGAGTATAACTTGCACTTCTAAAATCTTAATAAAATTATACTCATTCGTCGCGTTTTCACTCAGAACGAAAGAATCTATAAGAAAAATGCGGGGATCGGCCTTGTGAATCTAGTTATTAAGCGCTAAAGTTCGAGACTTTACAGGTTAAGATATCTCATCCCGATTCGATATATATTATGCAGGGAATGGAAAGTTACTTTTTAAAAATAACTAGTTACAGTTACTCGTTACCGAGTAAAAATGTAACTAGTTACAATTACAGTTATCGCTTTTTAAAAGTAACTCGTTACAGTTACCGTTACTTAAAAAATAACTTTTCGTTACTTTTCTTTAAAATCAATTTAAAAATGTACTTTTGCATTTTTTTTTTATATGTAATACTAACAAATATATAGTTTTATTAAAAAAAAAAAACAATGTAGAATGGCTCAAATAATAAATTAAATAAAAGTAAAATGAGAAGGGTTACGAGCCAAAAATGAAACAGTTTATTTCCGATAAGAACGACGATGACAATGTAATTAAATGTATAAATATAT